TGATGCGGTTGATTCATAAAGTTCCTTTCTTTGGTAGTTATTTCAGTTCAGTGTAGAGCATGGGTGGATGTCAGTACGTTGAAAGGAACAGGGGATATTTATCTGCTGTCTGGAGGCCTTAAGTAACCTGGTCTAGTCGAGAGGCGTCTCTGCCTGTGGCAGCGAGGTTGGATTAGATGCTCTCTAAGGTCCCGTCCAACCTAGGCCATTCTATGATTCTATGATATTCAGCATTTCAACCAATCTTCCAAGTGCTCTAAAGAGCTTGTTCCGAGTCCCATTCTAGTCAGTCCTCAGAGCTGGGTATTTATTATTTTGCTGGCAAGCAGAAGCAGAGCAGAACTTTGTTCTGATGTTCGCAAACTTCTTTTTAATTACAGAAATGTAATATAGCTTTGCAGATAAGTAGAAAAGTTTCTCAGGATTTTCTTTTTTAATTCTTTCTGTACATTCATCTAATGCCAAGGAAGAAATGATGAGGCAACTCAAGCTTTTTTGAGGTGATAAAGTTGTGTGTAGTTTCTCTCCTTCTGTGTGCTGTTGAAGCCAAGCATTAAAACCAGAAAGGACACGTCTTTTGGCAGTGTCAACTGAAACTAAGGACATGCAAATGTTCTTTATTAGGCAGTTTTATGGGACTCAAAGCAACTATATTTTGTCAAAACAAACAGTAATGGAGGTATTATGCAATGCCAGAAATGCGTGCCAGTCTGTTTATGCAGCAGCAATATAAATTCCTGTGTGCAGTGTTCTTTTTGGGTCATCTGACCGTGTGATGCTTCGTGTCATAATTCTATTTGTGCTACAATTTATATTTGCGCAGAAGTGCGCAGTGGAGTAGAACTGTGTGTACTGTCATCATCTGAGTGAACAGACTTCCTTACAAATACAGCTGCTTTTCAGAAGATGAAGCTCATACAAGTCTTAGATAAGAAAAATGTATATTAATCTATAGAGGGATTTTTAAGCTGAGAAAGGATGATGAAACAGGGTCTGGTAGCGTTTACTGCTTTCTCTGTCTCAGATCTTGAACAGGATGGAGACTGGAAAAACATAGAATGCTCCATGTCAGTCCGATGTCCTTTGGAAAACGGTTTAATATCAATGCTTGTAATTTTTTATATTGGCATTTTTGAGAGTGTTTTAAATTATTTTGGGAAGAGCAAAAACACCCCCAAGAAAGTAAGTTCCTATCAAGCTCTTTTGTGAATGCTTTGAGTCTAATTAGTTCTTCCAGCAGTTGCAGTGCTACTTAATTATCAAATACGTAGAGAAGCGGAGAAGGTCTGGGCAGAATTGCGACTTTGGAACCGCATTCTGGCTGACCTGAGCTTGTGTGGGCTCAGAAGGGATGGTGCCCTCCATGCCCTGGGAGCATTGGAAGCTCCCACAGGTGGGATGTTGAAGGTGCAGGAAGACTTTGGGCACGAGTTCTGCAGGGAAAGCTCGTAGTAGAGTGAATTTTTCCATCAACGTCCATGAAACTTGAAGTAGGCTTTTTTTTCCTATCTTGGTTTACCTTGCGCTCGGGAACTTTTTGTAGTTTGTTTTATTTGTTTAAAACTTCCAGTAGTTGTATTTGCAGACCAAGTTGTTTTAATAAGTGTATTGCCAGGGATTTTTACTGGAAAACAATAGGCCAGGTAGTTTTTTTAGGGATGCAAATGAAATATTGCAGTGAAATATTTATGTGAGCATAATTAAATATGTTAAAATTTAATTTTTTTTTTTTTTGCAATTGAAAAAGGAAAATAAATTAAAGGGTTTTTTGGTGTCACTAAGTGGTTACCTGGAGAGATGATACTCCATCTTTTATCCATTGAGCAGATTTTTCTTAGGAAGAGGGGTTATGGAGGTGGGCTCTGCTCCTGTGATGGTGGTATTACTGTCTTGTTCATAGCAACTTTTAAAAGCCCGGTACCTTAGTAATTCTGAAGGAGTTCACTGTAGGCATATGTTGCACAACAGTATTTTTTGTCTTTTCAGTCACATGTATGTTTTAGAATAAGTGTTACCGAATTAATTGTGGAATTCGCAGAGCGTGTTTTGACTGTCTGCTTGTTTTAGCTGCGTGTTAGAATTGGCAGATGTGCGAGTATAGTTGGTTGATGTGTCCTTTTGTTTTTAAGCATGTGTTTTCTGTCACTTCGAATTTTATTGCGAAACAGCTTTGTCTCAAGCTTTTACTTGGTATGGAGCTACCGTCTATTAAACAGAATATTCTGCAGAGTTTGGAAAACTTGGAAAACAGAGTTTGGAAAAAGCAATGCAATGCATTTCCACAGTGTTATGTTCTTTTTAGCTGACCATTCGTCTTGTTCCTCAAAAGTACTAGTTAAACATCTCTTTATCTGTAGAGTTGACAGTGTAACGGTTTTAAGTGTTTGAACTTAAGCCTGCTTAGCGTGTTGGCTTTAGACATCTGAAATTACTACTTTAAGAAATCAAGTCAAGTGTTCAAAGGAATCTACTCGCACTCCATCATGATATTTGTGCTTATATTTCTGTCTGCTTTGTTTCAGGAATTTGCAGCGCTTACGAAAGAGCTAAATGTATGCAGGGAGCAGCTGCTTGAAAGGGAAGAAGAAATTGCTGAACTGAAAGCAGAAAGGAATAATACAAGGGTTAGTTCCTTGTCTTCCTTCAAGATCAGTGTTGTTAAACCACCCAATTATGTGCAGAAAACCCACAGAATTGTGTTGAAAAGCTAAAAGTATATTTTTTTTTAACCTGATCTTTGCACGTGAATCCTTCTGGAAGTGTGAAGTGTGTTGATTAAGAAGGTCTGGATCATTATGCGCAGCTCCAAGTAGTCCTGCGCAGAATCAGGAAAAGCTTGTCAGGCTGCACCGCTGTCTGTCGCTTGACTTTCTTGTTAAAGTTTTGTAATCGTGCAACACCTGAGATCAGAGGAATAGTGGACAAGCTGTAGTGATCTGTTCCAGCAGCCTCCGTCGCCGCTGGCAGAGCAGTTGCTCTCCAGTTCAGAGCATTCCCTGTGCGTATCCTTCTGACAAGCACGCCAATTCCTCACCTTAGTGGTGGAGCTGAAAAGACTTGATTAAATAGAAACCTCATTTAAAAACTAGACTGAAAGAGGTGGGAGATTCATTAACGCTCCTAACTTAGAACATGGGTGAAATGTTACGCTTGATGTTATGCCTTGAGTAACCTGGTCTAGCCGAGAGATATCCCTGCCCATGGCAGGAGGGTTGGATTAGATGGTCTCTAAGGTCCCTTCCAAGATAGGCCATTCTGTGATTCTATGAAATATTCTTTGGCTCTCAGTTCTGAAGGTTAGAATGCAAAACTTGATGTTTTAGGAGGCAGAGTTTTCTGCAGCTATGCAGAACAGGAATAAACATGGTTCCTTTTTTTGTTTTAGCTATTACTGGAACATTTGGAGTGTCTCGTCTCCAGGCACGAGCGATCTCTCAGAATGACCGTTGTAAAGAGACAAGCACAGTCTCCAGCAGGAGTTTCTAGTGAAGTAGAAGTTCTCAAAGCACTAAAATCTTTATTTGAACACCATAAAGCCCTTGATGAAAAGGTAATGATATCTGATAGCTAACATTGTCTCCTCCTGTTCCCTCACTGAAGTGGTAAAGTCTCTGAAATTTCACAGTACTGAGGTAGTGCCTTTGCAACAACCACATCAATAACTGCTCTCCTAAATTAATAAGTTGCGTTAAGGCAGAGTTCTGTGTTTATTCTGGTGCTTCGTTATCTATCCTGATGTAAACGAAACATGGTTCAGGGCAGTATATGAACTTTATGCGTACATTCCCTTACCTGTATAATATCAATTTTGATGAGTTAATACAAGAAATGGACTAAAGAGAACAGGAGGAGAAGAACCTGCTTACTCTGTGATATAAGACTGAGTTAAAAGAACGTTTAGTTCTGCCTGATGTTGGCAGCAGGATATGCAAGTGGTAAAGTGTATTGTGAGTTTTGCTGCCAGCTCGTAGATGCCTGCCTTTCAAGACCCTTGTATGTCAGGTCTGGCAAATTATTTCCAGTAGACTTCCATCTTCCTTTTTGTTACTAAGCAAGAGCATATGCACTCTGTGCCTTACAAAAAGTTAGGCAAATTCTGGGGTAGGTTTAGCTCTTCCCTAAATATACAGGTCACGTTGAGATATGATTTGCTTATGACAAAAAAGAAGCTACGTTTTAAGATGTGTATTTTTTTCATCTAGAAGGTTCTTTTGTAGCATAAGTTGTAATGAGTACTGCCTGAAGAATGAGCAGATCTCTAAGTGTCATTTATTATCGCCTGAAAGGGCATGGCAGTGTGGCAATAAGTGAAACTTATTTCTGTTTAATATGAATGATTTCTGGATGAAACTGATTTGTTTAATATGAATGATATGAAGTTATTTGAAATCATTCTTTCAGGTAAGGGAGAGGTTACGAGTAGCACTTGAAAGATGTAGCTTATTGGAAGAAGAACTAGGTACTACACATAAGGAGGTAAGTTTCTTTTTAAAAACATCTTCCTGTATGCATTGTGGGTGTATCAGTCAATATTTGTACGTAGTCATTTAGATAAGGTTCACTTGCTCTTCTTGGTTTTGATTTTTTGGTGAATGCAATAACTAATTTTTAACTTAGTCATTTTGAAATAGTAGGAAAGAAAAAAACGAAACCAAAAAACAAAGCCTCACCAGAAAAGCCCCCAAACCCCAGCCCCTCTGCCTATCCTCCCCAGCCCCCCAAACCCAACAAAAAAACCACCAGCAAATGAACAAAAAGAGTTCTTGTGTCTTTGAAATAAGATTTTTTTGGATTGCTGTGGCATAAATCTTTTGAGTGCACATGCCATGTTTTATTAATGCATACCTTGCAGTAGAATCGGTAATTGTTGTTTTGCTCCTTTGCTTTTGCAGCTGCTCCTTATATTATTAGCGAGAGGGGAATTGACTTGAAACATATGTATATAAACTTCTCTTTTCTTTTAGTTAATGATTCTGAAAGAGCAAAATAATCAGAAGAAAACACTTCCAGATGGGATGCTGGATATAAATCATGAACAAGAAAACACACCAACCACAAATGGGAAGGTACAACTATTTTAGCTGATGTCTAACTTTTAATTATTAACTAAAATACTTTCTTTTTAAACTACAGTAAAGGATTTTGAGTGCTGATTTACTTTAAAAAGTGTCAGTTACTAGAATTTCAATTTTTGTAGTGTGTCTAATGAAAAAATTATCTTGCGGGAGGGATGTTTACATTTAAGTAAGTTTGTTTTTCAGATTTCTGTTTCATGTTCATATACTTTTATTTTATTTCTTTCCACCGTTTAATAGCGATCCTCTGATGGTTCTTTATGCCACGATGAAAACCTGACTAAAGTGATTGAACTCCAAGACATCATAGATAAGCAAAACAAAGAGCAGACACAAATGAAAGAGCGTCTTACTGCTTTGTCTAGCAGAGTAACAGAGCTGGAAGAAGATCTTGACACAGCTAGAAAAGACTTAATAAAATCTGAAGAAATGAATACAAAGTTACAGAGAGATGTAAGAGAGGTGAGGAATAAACGTACAAGTTGCAAATGCAACTGCTTTTTAAAATTTTAGTGTTATAGGTGCTCGGTTATGGTCATTGAACTTGTAAGTGATACTATTCTTCCTACTTTTTTCCGGAGAGAACTAGCAGTGTATCTAATTTTTATTTTTTGAATTCTTATTATTTTTGGGTTTTGGGTTTTCCCCCCGCAGTTTGATCACTAAATACTTATCTCTTATATTCTCAATTCTCTCTTGGGTCTTGCATAGACTATGGCCCAAAAGGAAGACATGGAAGAGAGAATCACAACTCTTGAGAAACGCTACCTCGCTGCACAACGTGAAGCTACATCTGTGCATGACCTCAATGATAAACTTGAAAATGAAATTGCCACTAAAGACTCCATGCATCGACAGGTTGGAATTTGAAATAAGATAAAGTACATTGTGCTTGGCATAAAACTAATGGAAATAATTAATGTTTGTCCTGTGCTAAAGCACTTTGCTTTCAGGAAGATAAATGCCATCTGTAATGCGCTATCGTTAGCGACTGGGTTTCCGTAATTGCAGAAGTGCATTGCACAGCTTTCCCCTGGAAATGAGGATGAGTGGCTTACTGGGGAGGGGAAATGGTTTTCAGCATTTTAGTGCGCTTGATCGTGGTGCAGCAGGGCTGTTGTCCCTGTTATTTGTGAGTTTGTGTGTCAAGAGTTTTTAGTTTCACATGTGAGAATTTTTCATTCTAAGCTGAACCAGTTGTATAATTTGTGTTGTACTGGTTTTTGTAGCCTATAACAGAAGTAAATGTGGCCTTACTGCGGGAGGACATTTGACTTGTTTGACATGAAGTAGTTCAACTTTATAAACCAGAAATGGTTGTTTAGCCAATCACTTTCTAACTAGAGACAGGCAACTCTGTATCAACAAGAGAAGTTCCTTTTAGTATAATGCTTAAAAGAAGTTACACACATTTTATGTGAAAATAATTTCAGTGATGTGTATAGTGTTATTTAAAAGATGAAGGATTTTTTTCCTTGATGTAACTCAAAGCCTTAACACAGCCTTGAATTAGAAAATTCGTTTCTTCTATGCTGCTTCCCATGCAGTAACTCTCTTAATTTGGTGATATAATTACTTTCAGAATACACAAAATTGTCTGCAAAAGAAAGTTGGTAGGGCAAAAAAAAACCTCTCAGGTAATGAAGGGCAGGATGCCACATCTTTGGATATGAAACCAGTTTTGGACAGCTTATTCTCTGTAGGGTCTAGTAAAGGCATTAATCTGTAGCCTTAACTTCCTCTTCAGCGAAAATTTATTACTCTCTTAACACTAATCATTTGCTGATCGTAATCCTGTGTAGAGTGAAGATAAGAACAGGCAACTGCAGGAACGACTGGAACTAGCTGAGCAGAAGCTGCAGCAGACTTTGAGAAAAGCTGAAACTTTGCCGGAGGTGGAAGCGGAGCTGGCACAGAGAGTTGCAGCGCTTTCAAAGGTGGGTCGGATGGACAGGGTCTTCAAGGCTTTATTCTCTGGTGATGTCCTGCTACAAGAACTTGTTCAAGTTGGTTTGTTTCGTTAAATTGTGTTTCTGTTTCTCCTCTCAACTAGTTCAGAAAATGTTTCTCCTTGTTTGAGTCTTTTTCTGTTCATCTCTCTGAGCATGCTCTAATGTACTCTTAAATTTCTGCTCTTTGGAGCTTAAGCAAGTTGTATTTAATTCAGTGATAGGTATAAGTCTTCTAAACCAAGAACTTTTTCTGAACCTGATTTTCTTCCACTGTTACCCAAGTGAGAAATATGTGGAGGGAGAGAAATAATGGCACTCAGTAATACTAAGAATTTTAAAGGCTGCAGATGGAATAACGAAGTCTAAAGATTTATATGTAGTAACTATAAATAAACCTTTTCTAGTGTGTGTCTTTTCTTTTTAAGTCGTAGTTTCTTTTCTTTCCCTGTTGTCTTTCCTGCCCCTAACTGGCTCTGTAGTCTGACCTTTTGTCTCCTGGGAGCTCTGCTGCTAAAGATGCTAAAGTATTGGAACTTACCACCAAGCTTAGGAAGGTAGAATTTGTATATGAGTTCTTATTTCTGCTTGCTGCTTTCTGCTTTGTCATGATCACTAACAGAGGATCGTTTTGTCTAGGCTAGTGAGGAAAAGCTGAAAATGCTTTTATTTTTTAATCATTATTTTTTACTTTTTGGGTATATGAATGAACTTCTGCTGTTACAAGCTTGTTTGCAAATAGTAGTTGATTCATGGTACTTATGGTTGAGAGACTTCATCGTTTTGTTACTTACCACATGACCTCTATGAGTTCTTTTAGTACATAAGGGCATCTGTTCTGCGTTGTGCTTTACCATAAGTGGCAGTTGCTTGAAGCATGTTAAGAGGTATTATTGTGCTTCAATGTTTCTATACTTTTGAAGCCTTTTCAAAACAAAACAAATAAATCCCACGCAAATTCTAATTTTGTTTTCAAATTGACAGGCTGAAGAGAGACATGGCAATATAGAGGAACGACTGAGACAGATGGAAGCACAGCTAGAAGAGAAGAATCAAGAACTGCAAAGGGTACCAGTGCATATTTTTGGCAAAGATACAAAGCTGAAAGAAAGAATCTGATCCCCTTCATGGCTGCCTTCTGTTCAGCAAAACTGATTTATTTCTCATCTCTACAATAAAACCAGAGTTGAGGCTGACTGATTTGAGATGCTGTACGATCGCTAACCTTAAATCTCAAGAAAAAGCTCCAACTTTCTAATGAAAGTTTGAAAATATGTTTGGAAATACCTAATTGCTAGACATTCTGATGAGAAGACAGACAGAAAACTTGCTGAATTAAATTACTGTGGAAAAATATGGTTCCTAAGTTACGAATAATAGAACTGATTCTAAAGTTTACTTTATCTTGAAGTATAAGCTTAGTTTTTCAAGCTTCTGATCTTGGAACAGTTATTAATGTCTTTAGTGTCCCTTATACTCCCTTACAGGGTTACAGGGGAACGTGCAGTATTCTTTGGTCCTTTGGAAAAATATTTCTGTCAAAGTAAATGCATTTGGATTAAAATTTACAGTTTTTACAACCTGGAAATTATTATGGACATTGTAAATTTGAAGTTATTTCAATAGCCTTTATGTATCTTAGGCTAGACAGAGAGAGAAGATGAATGAAGAGCATAATAAACGTTTGTCAGAAACGGTTGATAAGCTTCTGTCGGAATCTAATGAAAGGCTCCAGCTTCATCTCAAGGAAAGGATGGCTGCCTTGGAAGATAAGGTACAGGTCACATTCCAGCACATGTAGATTAATTGGATGTTCAGCCTTCTGTAGGGATTTCTGTACTTGTCAATGTGCCTGTAAATTCAGTAATAAACAGTAAATCCTTAGTAATAAGTAGATTCTGTTAAGGCTGTTTTCTAGTGTGGATTTTGAAAGTATGTTCTTGAAGTAACATAATCCGTGATACGTTCTGTTTTAGAATTCACTTCTTCGAGAAATTGAAAATGCAAAAAAACAAGTAGAGGAACTTCAGCATGAAAAGGTATAACGCACATTTCTGAAATAGTGTGTTGGCAAATAATTGCTGTGTTGCTGCGTAGGAGGACCAGATTTGAATTCCCCTGTAAAAGTTAACGTTGCATGGGCTGTTTAAAAGTAGGGAGATGTTGCTACTCATTTGGTGGTATTCAGTGCCTCAGTTTTATGAATATATAGGAAATTCATAGCTTTTTATTCAAAGACGTAACATGCTTTTGAATATGTAAAGTAGCTGGATAGATTGACAATTTGCCAAGGGTTGAAGGTTGCATAAAATTTTTATACTGTTGTACGCATACCTTGGACAGTGAAAAGAAGAGAAACGCTTCTAATGTTGGGTATTTTCCCGTAAATTTTTTCTTGTTTTTCTTAAAAGCTTTTAAGAATTAGGGAGCAGGGAGAGAAACATTTCTTAGGCTTGGCCATTCCTTTGCAATAGCAGCTGTCTGGTGTTTTGCTTGTCCTTTGACTCACAAGTTTCATTCTTGACTAATAGTGGTAGGGCCTTTTTATTTCATTGCATCCTTGAGCAGTGGCAATTGATTTTGTGGTTCTGAATTTGTTTGTTCTGAAATAATACTTAATAATTATTAAATCTCATCTCCCCAAATCATTCTAGCAAGTAGCCAGGCCAAACTGCAGAGGCTCTGCTCCTATAATAAAATGAAGAAAGCGTTCAGGGTGTTTTGCAGAATGTGCTTTGAATTTTTGTGTGTGGAGGTCAGCAGTTTTCACAGAAGGCCCAGATGGTCATCATCAGCCACGTTTTATGAGTCTTCTGCTGTTCTCTCATTCATCACATTTCTCCGTTGCTAGATGTTGAGTTTCTAGAGAATGTAAAAGTATCCAAGTGAAGCGAATGCCTTTAGAACCTTTTTGTGCACAGAGCTAGAAAATTCTTAATTATAGTAAAGTTCGTATGTGAATTTTATTTAGTATCTGCTTTTAAAATACGTATATTCATTACCTGGAGCCAGTGTAAAAAGGCAGCAGAATTATTCTTGGATGCCTTTTTGTGATGGTGCCATGTTCCGTGTGGCAAAAGTCCTTTTTATATTTTACATCATTGAAGGGTGTATTTAAAGTCTTACTTCTGCACTTGCTGTAAATGGGATCAAAAAGCTAAATGTTTATAAATCAGTATTTAACGCTGATTTGTTGGTTTTTTTAAAAGCATATAGTTATCTCTTTATTATTACAGGATCAACTTGTATTAAATGTTGAAACATTAAGGGCTGAAAATGACCAAGTGAGACTCAGAGCCACATCACTTCATCACAGGTACCAGCATTTAATTATAGCTTATTTTTTTTCCTAATTTTTTTAAAGCCACTTTGCTAAACGTAATTTTGTCTGATGACTGAAAATCCTTTAGTCATAGTGATGATTTCATTGAGCATATAAAGCAGTTTCTATACTGCTTAAAAAATCTGTCACTGGTGAGACAAGAGGAAATATTTGGATGAGTTCTTTGGGGTTTTCCCCCTTTTTGCCTCTACCCTCCTATGAATAAAATGTTTCTTTGTGTTGTAGCCGACCGGATTTCAGATACCCTTCGTCTGTGGCCGACAGTCACACAGATTCCTATGGCACCTCAGCAGTTTTAAGGCGTCCCCAGAAAGGGCGTTTGGCAGCTCTGAGAGATGAACCGTCAAAGGTAAGAGAACTCTGGCAACTAAATAGATTTAGATGAGACTCATCTATTGCAAGGAATTTTTACAGTAGGAGCATGTAGGAGTAAACTGCTAGATTTCATACATCCCATTTTACTGGCGAATGCATGGCTACTAGTCTTCTTAATTTTTGCAATTATTTGTTAAAAATTAAGATCCTGAAGGCCAATTGGGAGTATGATAGGCCTGTAAAATAAAATGTTAACAGTCCTGCTTTTGTATCTATGTACTAATCTAACATGTTACTGTTCTGCAAGCAATTTCAAGTCACTTTCTGGACACACAGTTTCTCATTACATAAAGCTGGTTCCAAAATTCTCGTTGGATTTGATAGCAAAATTCTACTGTCATTTATAGTGTATATAACCAAGTTGTGTGATGTTTTAATTTATGCATTTTTAAATTAGACTTAACTGTAAGATGCAAAGTTTCCTACATTATAGCTTTTTTTTATATTCCTCTAAACATTGCTCTCATGATGAGTGCATTCAGCACGTAAGTGGACTTTAGAAATTATTTTAAACCTCTTGAAAAATGGTGGAAGTGTCATGTTCTTCCCATTTGAGTTTTTTTTTTTTTAATTAATTCTCTTAGGTTCAAACTCTGAACGAGCAGGACTGGGAGCGAGCCCAGCAAGCGAGTGTTCTGGCGAACGTGGCACAAGCGTTTGAAAGCGATGTCGATGTGTCTGATGTCGAGGACGACAGGGAGACTATATTCAGTTCAGTTGATCTGCTGTCCCCAAGTGGTCAGGCTGATGCTCAGACTTTGGCCATGATGCTTCAAGAGCAGTTGGATGCAATCAACAAAGAGATTAGGTACAGTCCGACTGCTGTTTTGATGAAGATGAGTTTCTGTGATGCTAGAAATTCCTTTTTGGGTGGTTAGTCAGAAAAAGGTGGTTGCACAGTCACTTTCGCGGGGGGGATGTTCACAAAAGTAATTAGTTTGATTGTGCCTAAGTGCTCTTTGTCCTATTTGTGGCAGGGATTGTGTACTACTAGTTGGACAGAAACCTCTGCACGGTGGTAGTAGCAGTGGTGTTGACAGGAGTCTGGTTTTTTTTAGTTGGATGAGAAGATTTTTCAGTGGGGCTGTTTTGTCTGAGAAGTGCTGCTTCTGTCTCATGCCTGACTCAGCCATTCTGTTTCTATGATCCTGGAAAAATTTTTTTCCTTTCTTTTAGACTTATACAAGAAGAAAAGGAAAACACAGAGCAGCGTGCGGAGGAGATTGAAAGCAGAGTTGGTAGTGGAAGTTTGGATGCCCATGGCCGATTCCGGTCCATGAGCTCCCTTCCTCCTCCCTATGCAAGTGGTTCACTTGCTGGGTCGTCCCCGCCTGGCAGTGGCCGCTCCACCCCACGGCGGATTCCACATAGTCCAGCTCGGGAGGTGGACAGACTGGGGATCATGACACTGGTGAGTATCCATTAACTTGCTTTGTTTTGGAAGCGTGCTCCTTTTCTCTAGGAAATGGGTGATTTGATTTTCCCCTTCCTCTCCTTCTTACTCGGCTGTATTTTTCCTTTCTCTAGGTTTTTCTACTGCTTCCTTTCAACTTCTATAAAAAGTGTAAGATACAGTCATAATGATTAGGAAAAACGTTCAGAACTCAAGTCTATTATTTGGTCAACATCTCATGCCTAAGTATTCCTTCTGTTGTTATGGTCTTTCTTCTGACTCCTCTTCCTAGAAGAAATAAGGTTTTCTTTTCAACCCTGGTACAGAACCTACTTTGTCCCTCTGCTTTAAACTTTATTTTTAGCAGTCCACTATTCCACTAAATATTCACCTAAAAGTGATTTGCATATGTTACATTCATCTTGAAGGTGGTGAGGTGTCACAGCTGTTTAATATTAAAGAGTGCTCACGTCTTGTTTTGGGCTTTTAGGAGTGGTAGGTAAGAGAAGTATCTGTTAGACTGAGTAGCTGGTAAAACCTTG